GGCTCCCCGGAAGGGAGGTGTGGAGAGTGACCTGTGCTCGCACACAGGCTTCTTGTTGGCGGCAGCAGCAGACTTAGCGTCTCATGCCCGTCTCTGGGGTCCGCGCTGCTAACCGCGGCTCGCGCCTGTCTCTGGAGCTCCTTTAAGCAGCGCTCTTAATCCCCTCTCCTCGCGCACCAGGAAACAAAGAGGGAAGAAAAAGTCTCTTGCCTCTTCGGCACGTCCAGACATTTTCCCGGACTCCCTCCTGACTAGCCGTGGTGCACTAACCCCCTGCAGGCTCTGTTCACGCCACCAACCCCAGTCCTCTCCCTGCGCTCCGACCAAAGCCCGAGCCTCAGCTCCCAGCCCCGCCCGCCCCGGCGGGTGAGCAGACAAGCCTCTCGGGCTGGTGAGTGCCGGTCGGCACCAATCCTCTGTGCGGGAATCTCTCAGCTTTGCCCTCCGCACCCCTGTTGCTGTGCTGTCCTCCGCGGCCCTGAAGCTCCCTGCCTCCGCCACATACAGTCTCCGCCCGCGAAGGGGCTTCCTAGTGTGTGGAAACTTTTCCTCCTTCACAGCTCCCTCCCACTGGTGCAGGTCCCGTCCCAATTCTTTTGTCTCTGTTTATTCTTTTTTCTTTTGCCCTACCCAGGTACGTGGGGAGTTTCTTGCCTTTTGGGAGGCCTGAGGTCTTCTGCCCGCGTTCAGTAGGTGTTCTGTAGGAGTTGTTCCACGTGTAGATATATTTCTGGTGTATCTGTGCGGAGGAAGGTGATCTCCATGTTTTACTCTTCCGCCATCTTCCTGTACTCTGTCTCATTTTTTAAAAAACAATAAATATTTATTATCTCACAATATTTCTGCGAGTCAGGAATCTAGAAGAGTTTAATTGTGCAGTTATGGCTCAGGGTGCCTCATAAAATTGTAGTCAAAATATTGATCAGGGCTGCAGTCATCTCAAGACTTGACTGAAGCTGTAGAATCTGCTTCAAGATGGTTTACTCACAACGTGCTAATTGTTGGCACAAGGTCTCAGTTCCTTCCCACGTGTGCCTCACCATAGGCTGCTTTACTGTCTTCATGACATAAAGGCAAGGAATCGAAGAAAGAATAGTGTTTCTTTAAATTTCTTTGGGTCGTTTTTCTTTAGTCTATAAAATCTTTATTTTACCTTTGTTTTTGAAAGACATTTTCTCTAGGTAGGTTGACATTATTTTCTTTCTGCACTCTAAATATGCCATTCTACTGTCTTCTGGTTCCATTATTTCTGTTGGGAAATCAGCTGTCAGAGTTGTTCCTTTGAAAGTAGAGTCTTTTATCTCAAGCTGATTTTAAGATTTTTATTTATCTTGGTTTTTGACAACCTTACCATGATGTGTGTACATGTTGTTTTCTTTGTATTATCTTGAGTTTTCTGAGCTTTATGAAGTTTCATCAGTTTTAGAAACAAAAGTTTTGACCACTGCTTCTTTGGATATCTGCTTCTGCTCATTTTCTCTCTCTTCTCCAAAGACAACAATTATGTTTTATCCCTTTTGTTATGTTCATTTCTTTTCTCTTCCCCTGCCCCCAATGTTTTACTTGATATTTTTATTGACTTTTATTTCAATTTACTAATGATATCTTCTCATCCAAAATGGATTTTTAATTTCACTGAGTTCAGAATTTCAGGTTTTATATTTTTCTGTACTAGTTCCATTTGATTCATTTTGCACACTGCAATTATATGGTGAAATTCTCCATTATTTCATCTATTTTCTTCTTCTCCATTTTCCTTAACAAGTTAATCATGCTTGTTTTAAAGTCTTTTCCCTCTAGCTGTAATATCTGGATCACCTGTAGACATGCTTCTATGGAATTTCTTTTCTTCTGAGTTTTCAGTTACATAGTCATGTCTTTTTGTATGACACTCAATCATATTTCTGACTGAATGTCAGACACTGTAAATTTTATTAAAGGTTCCAAGTGATGTTATCTCCATCAGAGACGGTTTATCCTTTCCTCTTTTAGTCAGGTAGATTAAAGGGACTGATGAGCTTATCCTAGTCACCAACTGAGTTAAATTGAGACTATGCTGCAATTTTGTTAAGATTTGAGTGTACCTCTGGTTTTCTTGTGTTTCTAAAGTATGGATCTCCAAAACTTTCAAGAGACTTTAGCAAGTTTTTTTTTTTTTCTCCTTAGCAGTGAGAAATTGGGGATTTTTTCTACACACTTCATAAGTTTTGAACTTAGATCTTTAGGCACTCATCCACAATTACTTCAGAATTTGGGACATGTCAAGAACAGGAAATCAGCTATGAAATACCCAGTTTGCTACTTGAATACTACATAACTGCCAAAAGCTGTTCTGATTTTTCAGGTCCTAGGAAAAGCGTACCAGGATTTTCAGCTTCTAATTATGTCCTGATCAGTAAGTCATCCCAGGGAAAAAAAGCAACTGCACATAATCAGTGTAAATTCACTACTTCTTAGAGGCCTTTCCACTTCTGCCCATGACCCCCCTTCCTGGGAGGCCTCTGTGTCCTATGCACAGGAGACCATAGCCTATTCCACTGTGTTTTCCTCAGTGGAAACATTTTAACTTCTGCTCTCCACAGATTCTTATCTCAGCAAACTTCTAGAAGGGTAAATCAGACTTGATCTGGGGGCTTCTCACATCTCAAGGCTTGTCACTCCACATACACATATGCTTGCCAAATAGTCTGGTCTTCTACCTAGGCCTAGGTCATATTCTTAACCTCTAGCCTGTGGCCTAAATCTACAGTGCCCTCAAGGGCATCTCTAGATTTTTCACTCCCTCTGGTCCTTATTGCTTTCACAGCTCTATACTGCTTTAAATATATGATTTCCATAATTATTCAACTTTTCTAGTTTTCCATAGCAGATGCTATGAACTACACTATCCTACTCTGAAGTTTAAAAAATACATTGTTTTTAAACTTTACTATAAAAAATTAAAATTACAATTTTACAATCCTTACTGACTGCTTATTCTAATAACATTATCATATTAAATGTACCTTTTTTTTTTCCTGTGTGAGGTCAAAATATATTACAGATTATAGAAATAGAAGCCAGGGTAAATTTTGAAAGGGATTTTTTTTTTTTAACAGAAGAAAGATTTGGGCCTAATGAGACAGTAGCAATGAAAATAGCTCCTTTGTATGTGGAAAAGAAAAACCAAAGTTATCAAGTTAGAGTGAAAATTTATAAATATAATTAATAAAACTGAGGACAATATTCTTGTAACAGCAGACTCTAGGATGAAGATAATGATAAAGTAGAAGATGATAATGATTAATATCCAAGGCAATCAGTATTTATTGAATACTTATTATGTGCCAGGTACTAAATAAAACATTTATGTAGATTAGAATGAATATATGTAAAGCACCTGGAAATATTGCCTAACTCATTATAAGCTTTACAAGGGTGTTAGTTGCTGCTATTACTACTACTACTATTATTATAGTATTTATTCTTCACAATAATTCTTTAAGGTAAAAAATCATGACTTTTATTTTACCTAGGAAAAAATGGGTCCAAGAGAGGCTAATAACTTGCCCCAAATCATAAAGCTAGTAGGATACAGAACAAAAAACCAAAACCAGATCTGTATAGCCCGAAGTCTATGCTCTCAATCACTATGATACCTTAGGGGGATCTTGTTAAGGAAAAAAAGAACATTTGTGGCTTTAAAGAACTTATGCAAATATAGTCGTGTACTTAAATATCTACCATATTCTTTTTGAGTTTTTTTCATTTACACAAAGGCTTTGCTAATCTGCTGCACAATTATATAGGAATAAAAACCAGGCCTATACACAATATCTTCCTTTATTGCAATCATCTCTCCAATCTTAAAATATCATTTTCTCCACTTGATAAATAAAAAAGTTAAATCGAAATACACTGTAAAATATCAAAAATGCCAGCTTATTCCAACTGGATTCCCATGAATAATGTATTTAAAATCACTTATTAAGGAGAATATTGTACCTAAATTTGTTAGTTAATGATACAGGCTAATGTCAATTTTATAATCTCAAAATATTTCTAGTAGCCCTAATAAAACCAGAACTATAACATTTAAGACAAGTTTCATAAAATGATTTAAACAGGCAAAGTAGGGAACAATAAATCTTTTGTAATTTGCATAATTTCATACCCAAAAAAAGCCTTGGTTTAAACTTACTCTGAATGATATCTGCAATGGACAACAATGTAATACATTCACACAAATAAACTATAAGAGTACATTTTGTGGTAACTCCCTGGTGGTCCAGAGGTTAGGACTCCATGCTCTTACTGCCGAGGGCCCAGGTTTAACCCCTGGTCAGGGGAACTAAGATCCCACAAGCCATGGGGCATGGCCAAAAATGAGGGGAAAAAAAAAAGAATACAGTTTGTGATAATTCTGTTCCAACCTCTACCACATACTTATTATAGAAAAGGGCATATGGTAGCCTTACTATTTTAGACCAACTGTAAAAAAAAAAAAAAAAACTGAATTAGTAAAAAAAAAAAAGAAATTGTAGAGTATTTTAAAAAAGATATGTATTCTATTTCTTTCAGTTATATGTGGTCTTTAGTTGCCAACAAGTGTCTCCAAGTTCAGAGAGTTTTAGCATGGTTTAATAAATAAATAGTATATAATTAGCAGGAGCTATTCACACACAATTAACATACTATAGTCCTTAAAAAGAAATGGTCTTCTTAAATAAATATGTAAATGTCTATGAAACCTTACTTGTGCTCTAATTTGCTCAGTCAAGTTTTCATAGATTATAAAAAAAAATAAACTTCACTTTACATGTTGATGAAATATTCTTGAGAATTTTTTCAATTCAGTCCAAATTGAATGAGCTATAAAATACTGCTGGGATAAGCCAAGCTTATTAGTTAATTTAGGTTTAATAATTAATGCTGTGCTGCATATTAACTTTAAAATTTCAAAGTAAGAGTATGTATTTAAAGTCATATTTTAAAACTAGAAAGAATATTAAAGTTCCTACCTCTAATTCTACATCAGCTCGTACATACTGTCGGGTCTTTGGATGATTAAGGAGGTGTAAAATTGTAGTAATGAGAGCCTCATTTATTCGACTTAATTGGCAATCGATCACATTTTTCAAGATGGTGTTTAGTCCACCTCGAAGGGCCACCACCTCTGGATTCTGAAGTGCTAAAATAAAAAAGAAAAACTTAATATATTATATAGGGGATAATTAATAAAATGTAATCAGAAATCTGGGATTTTAATACTTAATTTGCTTTCTGACTTGAAAAACTTTCCAGTCAATGACATTTAAAAGGACACGTGGATAAATTACCTAATAAGAGTCACTGAATATACTTTCCAAAACTCTGATTTGTTTCTTAATGTCTCTGAACTTTTTCATACCTTTTGTTCATGTTTTACTGACTGGTTCTTCTTTCCTATCAATTGCAAGGAGTTCTTTATATAATGGGAATATTAGCCTTTTATCTGTTTCAAATCTTTTATCTGATTTGTAACTTAACTTTAGATTTTAGGCTCAGAAACTCCTCCCTTACTTCAAATATCAGGCATTTTCTCTGTATGCACGCACACCCATGTGTGTGTTTTAAATGAGTTCATGATTAACATTTCAGTTTTCAATCTGTCAGGAAACAGACTTTGGCTTAATATTGATAAGCTCATTTTTTCCCAAATATTTATTCAACTATCCCAGCATGCTTTCCAAACAGATTTTCATACTTTTGATATACTGAAGTCTTCTATGTATCAGGGTCTGCAACCCTTGATTCTTTTTCATTTTTTTCTCTCTTAATAAGCCAGCTTAACTTTTTTAAAATATGAGAAAAAAATCTTTGCCTTCTCCTCCATTTAGTCTTTTTCAAAAATGTTTTTTTTTCATAGTTGAATTTTTCCTGTTTGTTCTGGTTGAACTTTAGATTTAGGTTTCTTCTCCATTTTTTCTAAATTGAGGTATAATTACTTACAGTAAAATACACAGATTTTAATGGTACAGTTCAATAAATTCTGAACAATATCTATACCCCTGTAACCAATACCTCAATCAAGGTATAGCACTTTCATCATCCTAGAAAGTTCCTTCACACCACTTTTCAATCAGTCTCCCTCCACAACAAAGGCAACAAATATTCTCATTTCTACCTATAGATTAGCTCTGCCTTCTTGAAAATCAATTAAACAAATTGAAAAGTACCCCCTAAACACACACACACGTCTTCCACATTTCTTATTTTTATTTGTTATATATAGTTTTCTTGTCTACTTTGCAAATAGTATCATTTTTTTCCATTATATTTACTGATTATTGCTTAAACACAAAATAAATCGATTAAATCTATATTTTCAGGTTTCCACTGTACTGAATTACTGAAGTTGTTCTTCAGTTGATTCAGAGTTTTCTAGATATATCATCTACTATGTATGATGCCTTCTTTCCAATATGTAAAACTCATTTATTATTTTGTCTTGCTAACCTGGTTAAAATGCTAATTAAGAGCTTTTAAAATGATGTAGTATTTGTAGAGATCCACTATTAAGAATATGATTGGTGGACTTCCCTGGTGGCTTAACAGTGGTTAAGAATCCGCCTGCCAATGCAGGGGACATGGGTTCGAGTCCTGGTCTGGGAAGGTCCCACATGCCACCGAGCAACTAAGCCCGTGCGCCACAACTACTGAGCCTGTGCTCTAGAGCCCGTGAGCCACAACTACTGGGCTCGCATGCCACAACTACCGAAGCCCATGTGCCTAGAGCCCATGCTCCGCAACAAGAGAAGCCACTGCAATGAGAAGCCCACGCACTGCAAGGAAGAGTAGCCCCCGCTCGTCGCACCTAGAGAAAACCTGCGCTCAGCAACGAAGACCCAACGCAACCATAAATAAATAAATAAACAAATTTATTAAAAAAGAGTATGAGTGGTGATTTGAGATGAATATTCTACAATGTTAACATAGTAGCATTCTAATTATTTCATTTTATGTATGCGTGTATTTGTGTGTATGTGCATATCTGTGTGTTTATGTATATAAAATGCTAGTTTCATTTAAATTAAAATTGGTAAATTTCCATATTTTTAATGCTCTCAATTAGATTATACTATATGAGAATTATTTGTTCCTTGAAACAATTTTTTTAAGACAAAACTAACTAAATGACTCTTTTTGGAGGCAATTAATTCATCAAGTACTTCTATGGTTTTTGATCCATCACGTGTTCTACTCTTTTGAGTCAAATGGATATTAAAATTTTCTCTGAAAACCCATTCATTTCAATAAGATTTTCAAATATATAAAAAAATTATCTAATTTTTAAAACTATTAATTCTCTTTCTCATTCTATTAATCTTTTCTCTGACTTTTGCATTTTTCAAACAATAGTGTATGTTTGCCTGTGTATCATTTTTTTCTTCTTCCATTAACACAGATTAGATTAAATAATCTATCTTGTTCTCTAAGACTCAGAATCATTATTGCTTTCCTCCTGCTTATGTTAAAATTTATTTTTTTCTTCTTTTCTTCTTTTTCTATTTCTTGGGTTCGCTCACTTATTTTCATTACTTTTTGCTTAATTATAAAAGCATCTTATAGTGAGACGTTAACTCGAGTATATAACTTTCCAGGCATCTCATACATTGACATGTAGTCAAATTTTTATTATTTTTCAGAATTTCCTTAATCAAATTTCTGACTTTTTCTCTAAATCAACAGGTATTGTAGACAGTATTTTTAGACTCTCAATGATAAGGCTTGGCTCTTTTGTTTCTTTAAACTTTTGTTATTCATTTATTTATTATATCAAGAGTGAATGTAACCTATACCACTTCTGCTTTTGGTGGGGAAAAATATTATCTTCTCTTGTCATTAAAAATTATATTTCTTTGGTTATAAGTGAGGTTGAACTTTTAAAATACTTTGACTAGCCATGCATTTCTTTGAGAATTACTTATTTTTCCTACTGATCTGTATATAAGTAAGTTCTTTACCTGTCATGGTAAAGAACTTATTTATTACATTTATTTTTTTCTTTGTTCTGGTACTACATGTTTTCTTATCTCCTTATAATAAAATCTACAGCTGCTGAAATCTGTTTGATTTCTTTTGATAATTCAAAATTCCTTTTCCTTACGTGATCAGATAGTCATCCATTCCCCCCCCTATATTTTCCCCATTTAACTCTTAAATCCTTTTTCATTTAGAATTCTTTTTTAATGTAGAGTGAATTGTTGTTTTGCACTCACATCAAGATACAATGTGGTTAATTAATGTCTGAGAGCCAGACTTTAAGAGATTTTATTCTAATTACTGGAATCTGGACAATTCGTATATATTAAATTTCATGATGAGTAAAACTTTAAAATTTATAGAATTTTAATGTCACTTTGAAATGATTTGTTAAACAACAAGTCCACTACTTCCTTATCAGGAATGTCCTACTTTTTCATATCTTTTTACCAATACCTAAAGAATTAATGTATTAAAGGCATTAAAAAGTGTTATATATTCTTTCTAAAATACTACATTTTCATTACTCAAAGAAAATTCTGACCTAGTTCACAGATAATGGCAATGCATGCTCGAACCATTCTGTCTCTTTCTTGGAGTCCATCATTTCCAACTGCTATTAATGAGTTGGCCACAGAGCTAGGAAACAAGGAAGCATTCACAGTAATCATCTGTAACAGGGAGAAATCAGAAAAAGAAGTTACTTCATAATGCATTTTTCAAACCTATTTTATTCAGACTGAAGTGTTTAAGACCGTAGAATATTTATAAGATCCAGGCACTAATTTTAATCTTCTCCTTCAAATGAACATGTCAAAGGACTAATATAACTAATAACTGATGCAATAAATGTTAATAATCATTACCATGGAAAAAAGTGTTGGCTTTTTTTCCCTAATAGTCCAGACTATAAATTAGTTGACTACCAAGATATAACGTTTCTGAGATTCTAAGCTCCTCTAGGATAGGAACTCTATTTTAAAGAACTTTTCAGTAACTAGACAAAGTAAATCAGTGGTGACAACAGCTGCAAACATACTACTGTACTACTACATTCCTGACTCCTTCCCCATTTATTATCACCACTACATCCTATCAATTTACCTCATTAACTCAACTCTTTCCACCATCAAACTCTGACTTGGGTCCTCATTCTTACTTTGATTGCTGCAACTGATGTCTCATCATCTCCCTATGTCTCTCACTTGTTGCTATACTGAAAGGCAAACTTAATAATCCATAATCTATTTTTTTTGAAGTCCCCATTTTCTTTGTGGTTGTTATGGGGACTGCCCTCAGCTCTTAGAGGTTGCCCTCAGGTCCCTGTCATGGGCAGCTCACTTACGGTTATTTGCTACTTCAAGGCAGGCAGCAGTTTCTCCATAATCTATTTTTAATATTTCAAAAACTGTGATGGAAACAGTATGTCTCTGGTGACAAAAACTTTTGTCGAATCTCATTTTAAATGAAAAGTTTAGTTGGCAATAACATATTTGGAATACTGAAAACAGATAACATGTATCTTCAGTTTGGAAAACAGAAAGAAAAATTATGTAGTTAATTACTCTTTAATAAATAGAAGACTATTTGGTAGATGAAGTATTTCAAAATAGCAGGTCCTTGGAGTGGGAGTAGAAGAAAATGTTTTATTCTGTTTGGGTAGTGATAAATACTGGGGATAATTAATCTGTCCTGGGTGTTACTATTTATAATCCTGTTGAAAAATAAGACTTATACTCTGACAAAATTAGGGGACACAATATAACTAAACTAATATCCAGTTAAATCCTATAGAGGTTCAAAGGAGAGATCTATATTGGATAGAGTACTTGTAAATGGTTTACATCATTTAAGCAGCATTATGTGATATGACAAGTTTCAAATGAAATTATAGAATACTGTTCCACAACCATAAAATAGATGTCTAATAACCTTAGAATCTACAAAAACTTACACATTTGTTTCTAAACAGTATTTTTCATTACTCAAAAATGTTGGAGAAGAAAGAAGAGGAAAGGGAAAAGAGGTATAAGAAACTGATCTTCCTCAGTGAGAAAATTCTAACTTCTTATGATATTAATTTATATTTTAATACTTATTGATCTATTATTATACTTACAAGGGGCTTGTAAGAAAAATTCCCAAGACAATAAGACGTATGTAATGTATTTTAAAAAGAGTTGGCTAGAAGCCAGACCAACCGGCTTCCAGGGCCAAATCTGCCATTAATAAACTGTTACCTTGGCAAACCAATCCTCTCTGTGCCTTAGTTTCCTCATTTGTAAATGAGGATGTATAGGATCCGATGATTTCTAGAATTTCAAGTGTAAAATTCTATTCTATGAATCTCAAGTGTAGAGCTATGAAATGGATATCAGTAATTTAAAGTTTTTACAAGTGAAATCACTCTTGTTATTTTTCAGGGAAAATATACACAAAGAAACTCTTAAATTCTGTGTAAATCAGAGAATACTTTTCTTGTAAATCAGTGAGTAATCAATGAGGGAAAAGTCATAGAATTTAGTCTCTGCTGAAATAAAAGTTTAATCATCTTTTTTGCATGATAGAACAGACATATATAAAACAAATCAAAGATCATAAGTAGGTAATAAATTTGTAGAACTGCTATAAAAGAATGAGAGAAACACTGAGTTCTCTAAGGGAAATATTTAAAATTTCAGCTGAGACTGCAAGATGAATATAATATAGAAAGGGGTGGAAATGAGAAGAATAGGATAGAAGCAGTGATCAAAGCAGTGGTGGAGGGCAGCTTGTCTACACATAAAATGGCATAATGAGATGGGTCATAATTGGTTGCCCCAAAAGTGGGCTCTGAATGGCAAGATAAGCAGGTTGTGCTTAATACCAAAAGGATTTGTGGGCCAGTGTAGGTTTGGAAATTTGGAGAACTGGGCTTTTCATGCTGGCTTTGACAATATCTTGCTGTGTATCAAGGGCAAGTGATTCCTTTAAATGAATCCCTTTCAGCTACAAAAAAAAAAAAAAATCTGTGATATATTAATCTCATATTGCATGAATATAGAAATGATATATGAAGAAAATAATGGCTTAATTAGGCAGGCAGTAAGAAAACTTTAAGTTGGATAAAGAGTAGCAAGAGCTGACTAGTGTGAAAATAATACAGATAATGAGAGAGACAAGAATCAGGAAGGATTGCCTGGATTAGAGCAAGAAAGAGACATGAAAAAATCAGAGACATTGAAAAAAAACCAAGCAAACAAACAATATCTCCTAAATGAATGAAATAGGTGAAAGAGAAGAAAAAGTAACATAGTATTCCTTAATTATTCATAAAGCAAGTTATCCTAAAGCAACAAATGTTTTTGCTTTTCCTTTAAAAAACATTATTACTTTCACAGAAAATTTTAAAACTGTTCTGAACGCATACAAAGAACCCACAGTGACCTAGCAATTATATTATTAACATTAATTTCTACTAGCTCAGGGGCCAAAATGTTGCTGGAAAAAAAGAAATATGTGCTTCAATTGTTAAAAGTATTAGTGAAATTATAGTTCCTCTGGCCAATAGAGGCCACTGTTCATTCAGCAACCTTGCTTTCCCTTTTACTCTGTTTTTAGCTAACCCAAGGAGGAATCCTGTGACATAACTCTACCTTTGAGCCTGTATTTTACCACCAGGTACAAGCAGTTTTCCCGCCCTTGAATCCACAAATGATATCTGCCTTCTTCAAAAGATAACAAAATAAAATTACGTTTTTGTTATGGCATTTCTGAATTGTTTCAAGGGTCTGTTTATTTTTACCGGGCTATTTTATAAATTACACTGTAACTTGTACAAAACATTGTACAAAACAGAAATAAAATATTTAGTGAATAATTCAAAGAAGCTGAATTTAATTTAATCCATTTGGGGTTCTTTTTTCATCTGAACGCAGTTTCTAAGGCAGCAACTCTCAAAGTGTGGTCCAGAAAACTGAGGGTCCTGACGATATTTTCAGATTCTGCAAAGTGAAAACTATTTTCATAGTAATTCAAAGACATTATTTGTCTTTTTCACTCTCACAAGTACATATGGAAGTTTTCCAGAGGCTCCACTGCATGTGAAATCACAAGAGACTGAATACAAAAGCAAATATGACAATCCAGGTATCTTCTATCAGGACAAACACTACAGAAATTTGTATAAATCTAAAATAATGCCACTCTACTCATTAACTTTATTTTTGGAAAATATAGTTATTTTTATAAAAATATGTTATTTATGTTTACTTGTAATGAGTTTATTTTTTAATATGTTAATATATTTTTTAATTTCTCATTTTTAATTCCTAGTATGATAAATACTGACATATATATAACTCAAATAACCAAAGAGTTATTCTAGGTTCTTCAGAAACAAATTTTGTTTTCTTATCTTGAATTCTCAAAATCATGCAGAAGAGGTTGTACGTATAAGTAAAAATCATAAACCTAATTTTTATATTTAAATATGAAGAGTCAAATCACGGTGCCAACATAACAATTTACCCTATAACAAACATTTTTTAAATCTATCTCCAATATCACTCTTAACTAGAACTGCAAACTTCTTTTAAGACAACTCATCCATTTACTTCTTCCTTACTATGCTCACCTGTGGGTACTATTACTAACCATAAGCTGAACAACTGGAAGAAAAGGAAAAAGAGGAGATCTAGTTAATGCACAAACTCAACAGTCTGCAATTCTGGAGCATGCACTGTATTCAAAGGTGGGAAAAAAGGAGAAGAGCTAAAAAAGTTAACTGTTAAATAATCTTAGATGTTTTTACATTAAAACAAACATACACTGCATCAGTTTTATGAATTTTTAAGATGAAACATGATACTTTATGATGAAACATGATAAAATTCTTACACAAACTGTACCCTAACCAAATTAACTCTCAGTTTACTCTATTCCTCTGCCATTAGGGCATCACATCACATTAAATAACAATAAAAAAAACTCATGGAAGGCCTCTCTCATTAGAAGCAGTATGGATTATCCTCAACACCCTCTCTTGGAGAGTTTAGATTTTGACCTTTTATCCTGTACAATGGCCTGAATTGTTTATTGCAAGTGCCTACTGATGTATCCAAATTCATCTTCAAAACAATCAGCCTGTAATTATTTTTTGACATTCATTTAATAGAATTAACTCCAAGCATATAATTAAGAAAAAATAAGGGTTGGGGGCAAGTAATCCTCTTTCTCCAATAACATATAAAAGCAGTAATTTCATTTATATGCCTACTGCAGGAAGAAATATTCTTTACAATAAACATTTTATAAAAAATACTGCCCTAGCTATACCCACATAGAATAATTACACAACATATTTATGCTTATCTTGAAGTTTTAATACTTATTTAACTCATTTTAACAAAATAAAAATGTTTAATGAGAATTCAATTTTAATAGAAAGATTTCACAGTCTAAATCTAAAAATGTAAAATGCTTAACATGAAAATCATAAATCTGCCTTTATTCTCAGACATAGAGCCTACCTTTCTGACTAATCGAAGTGCTTGTGTCCTCTCTACCTCGTTGCTCTGCTGTATGTCAATGCACCTAAATGATACATAAAATATTTAATTATTGATAAAAATCTTATTAAACAATTTTTTGTATAATACCATGATCAGACCCATGTTCATGTCAATATAGTATCTGTAAATGTTAATACAAGTTATTTTTCAGTACCAGCAAATATTTATTTAATTTAGTATCTCTAGTGATAAATACTTATTATAATAAAACATTTCAAAACTATTTCACTTAAAACTCCAGGAAAGAAGAATACCGTAAGTAATTTATAGAATTATATATATCTATACAGAAATAATAAACATATTTATAAAGCAAAATATCAGAAATCTACTGAAAAAATATTCACCTATCTTTGATAAAGTTCACAGGTACTTCATAAAAATTGTGAAGGAGAAATATTTCAAAGCCTATGTTTTAGTTTAATTGTGATTTTAACCAGAGCCTAAATTTTACATGTTATAACTAAGTTAAAAGTCTTATATTAGCCACAATAATTCTATTTTACCAAAATATAATTTGAAATGTGACTGTACTTCAAAAGTTAATGCTCATATATCACTTAACTGACATTTCTCTATAAAATTTATTAAATTATTCAATTTCTAAAGAGTCTTTGGTATATGTGGAAGAATAATTCATTTTTACTTATGCTTAGACAGTTCACAATTCTAATTAATACTTTATATATCAATACATAGATAGTTTGCTATTCAAAAGCATTTCTGCTATCTGAATATAATTAATCTAAAACAACTTTAATAAGAAGCAAATAGACACATATAATTTCATTTCTGGCCACAACAGATCAGACCAATCCTCCTGCCAAAAATAACTATAAAGGCTAAATATAGTACTTTGTAAAGCAACTGTTAAAAGGGCAATGGATAGTAATCCCTGGAAAGAGAAGCACAAGCTCCATATCCTCTCAGGCTTTGTCCCTGGGGACACCTGCCAATCCCCAGTTTTAGGGGAACAGAATCCTAAAAGAAAGCAAAAATCTTCCTGTACTGGAGAGACAGACTGAACTTTAGGGCAACCAAAGTGGCTGGGACTTGAGGGGAAAAAAATCTCAAAGAAAAGAAAATAGGAATATAAGCAAGAATCTGCATGCCATCCCCTTTACAACGCACACTTGCCAATTTCTATGTTGTACAAATGCAGAGTTAAAGTCCAAGAAACCAAGCAAAAAGCTACTGCTGAGAAGCCAAGGAACTGAGCAGACATTTTAGCAGGTACATAATATTCTAAGAAAGATGTTAGGGCTCAAGGCTGGTCGGGATGAAGAGGTTCTGCTAAATATCTACATTTTCACTTGAGACTCCATATAGCCACTTCCTAGAGCAAAGGCAAAGGAAAAAACAAATTTTAACACAATCAGTGTGATAAGCCAACATTCCAGAATAAAGCTTAACCCTTTTAAGAGAAAAATAACATGATCCAGAGCCAAAAACTTTTAACATACAATGTTCACATCCAATCACATATAATATGAGGTATGCTTTAAAACAAAGGGTTGAGTAACCAAAAACCAAGAAAAGAAAATGATAATAGAAACAGAACACAGGTGATTCACATACTGGAATTGTCATAAATAACTATGATTATTATGCTCAAGAAAATAAAGCAGAGGCCTAGAATGTTTAAGTAAGAGTAAAATATAAATCACAGAAATACAATAACTGAAATTAAAAATTCAAGAGACTGGGGGCTTCCCTGGTGGCACAGTAGTTGAGAGTCCGCCTGCCGACGCAGGGGACACCGGGTTCGTGCCCCGGTCTGGGAAGATCCCACATGTCGCGGAGCAGCTAGGCTCGTGAGCCATGGCCGCTGAGCCTGTGGTCCGGAGCCTGCTCCACAACGGGAGAGGCCACAACAGTGAGAGGCCCGCGTACAGCAAAAAAAACCAAAAACAGGTAAGTAGAAAGTAACAACACTGAAGCACAAAGATTAACAACAACAAAGATTGAAAATACAGTAAGGGCATTAGAGACATGTGGCACAGTGAACAGATTCAACACTCTACAGCTGGAGTACCAGGGGATAGGAGAGAAAGTAACAGGAAAAAAAACCTTTAAAGTAGCCAAAGGAGAAAAAAAAGCAACAAGAAGAGACAACTTACTGTTCAACAAAAAAAAAAACAAAATCCAGAAGACAATAACTTATTTAAAGCATTGAAAAATAGTAACTGGTCAAAAAAATACCCTTCAAATGGGAAGGGAAATAGAGGATTTATAGACAAATAAAACATGAGAGAATTCAACTCCAGGTATACCTACACTATGAGAAAATAGTAAAGGAAATTCAAGAAAGTGACCCAAGATAAAAGGGTGGAAATGCAAGAAGGAAGAATATTGGAATGGGTAAATAACATAGGTAAATATCTCTAGTTCCAATTTAATACAATAACAGGACTATCCTGTGGGGTTACAAATATATGTAGAAATAAGGCAGAGGGGAGCTGATGGTCAAGCTGGAAGAGGTTTCCTGCATTGTTCTGGTTGTAATAAAAATGGTAAACCTTAACATATCAAGGATAAATGTAATCTCTAGGGCAACTGCTAATAGAAGAAAAGGCTTTAAAACCAAGACATTAATAGAAGAGGAAAAAAATTCTTGATTATTCCCAAAGAAACAAAAAAGGAGCAATGCAAGACCAAAGAATAGACGTGACAAATAGAATATGAACAGCAAGACAGCAAAGTCAAATATATGAGAAAACTAATGGCAAGGTGACAAACTCATAAATATAATTACATTAGATAAAGCACATAGACCCTGCATATAAAAAACCACTAGACATAGTCTAATCCAATTAGAAGACAAAGATGGTCAAACTAGATTTTAAAAAATCTATATGATGTTAACGGAAGAGAAACTTAAATGTAAGAACAAAAAAAAAGAAAGTGAAAGGACTGAAGAGGATATATTGTGCAAACCCTAAATAAAATAAAGTTAGTATAGCTATATTAACATTAGATAACATGAACACTCATAAAAGAGGTATTACTAGGAATAAAGAGAGACATTTCATAACCAGGAAAGGATTAGCCAATGAGAAGGTTTAACAATTCTAAATATGAATGCAATAACAAAGTTTCAAAATATATAAAGCAAGAACTGACAGGGGGACTTCCCTGGTGGCGCAGTAGTTAAGAATCCGCCTGCCAATGCAGGAGACACGGGTTCGAGCTCTAGTCCAGGAAGATCCCACATGCCGCAGAGCAACTAAACCCATGTGCCACAACTACTGAAGCCCTCGTGCCCTAGAGCCCACGCACTGCAACTACTGAAGCCCACGTGCCTAAAGCCCATGCTCCGCAACAAGAGAAACTACTGCAATGAGAAGCCCACGCACCGCAATGAAGAGTAGCCCCCGCTCGCCGCACCTAGAGAAAGCCCACGCAGAGCAACAAAGACCCAACGCAGCCAAAATAAAAAAAAATTGAGTCCATGATATTAAAACTTCCTAAAAAAGAAAACCCCAGGGCCAGACAGATTCGCCAGTGAACTCTACTAATCATGTAAGGTAAAAAGCAGTATCTTACATAAATTCTTCCAGAGAATATAAAAAGGGGGTAACATTTCCTTAGTTGTTTTATAAACATACTCTTGATACCAAAACCAAAAAGAATATTAGAACAATGGAAAAATATAGGCCAATACCTCTCATAAACATAACTGCAAAAATTTTTCCACAGAATATTAGCAAACCCAATACAGTTATATGTGAAATAAAAAGACATCATTAAAAAGTGGTGTGCGCTTTTTAATTCCTTGCAAACAAGGAATATAAAGAAATCCACTAAGAGTCTACAGCAAGTATCATAAATAATGGCAAAATACTGAACACTTTCAACTTGAGTTCAGGAGCAAAACATAGTTATCCAATTACCATTTCTAGTCAGTGCAATATTCTAACCAGTGAGATATGGTGAGGAAAAGAAAAATATAAGTATTGGGAAGGAAGAAATAAAAGGGTCATCATTTGCAATTAATGCTAATGTACACAGAAACTCTAAAATAACCTTAAAAACAATTAGAAATAAAAAGTGAATTTAGTCAGATCACCGAGATAAGAATATACAAAAACAAAAAATTAAAACTTACAATTATTTTTCTATATATTAGCAGCAAAAACTATGAAAAAGAAAAATTTTAATTACATTAATACTATATCTAATAAATGCCTTACGATAAACCTAACAAATATGTGCAAGACCTCTCTGCATAGAAAACTACAAAATGTTGAGAGAAATTAAAGTTCCAAATAAATAAAGGTTTGGAAGATTCGATATTATTACGATATCAATTCACCCCAAATTAACACAGAGCTTCAATGCAATTACTATAGATATCCCGGAAAGTTTTATGGAAATAGACAAGTTGATTTTCTAAAATTCACATGGAAATACTGAACCCAAAATAGAGGAAAAGCTGGAGGACTTATACTAATACATATCAACACTTACTGTCAAGGTGCAGTCATTTAAGACAGGGAGAAAACGGAGCAAGAACAGACAAACAGACCAAACAAAGAGAATAGGGAAAGCAAAAACAGAAACATACTTATCAGTTACCTGACTTACAACAAAAATGAAACTAATTTAGACATGAAAGGAGAATCTTTTCACTAAATGCCTCTAATATTTATTAGATATTGATAAAAATGAATTGTGACCTAACACCTATTTCAACATATACGGAATAAAAACTTTAGAAGAAAAAATAGGATATTATCATCCAAAAAGACCAAAAACATTAACTATAAAATAAAAGACTGCTATATTGGATTTTATTAATTAAGAAGAGTAAGAAGACAAGGTAGACTGACTTGGAGAAGATATTCTCAATACATATACTGGAAAGGAATCATATCCAGAAGATACCAAGAACTCCTACGCAAAAAGATAGACAATCCAATTTATAAATGAGCAAAAGATAAAGAGGATATCCAAATAGTCAGCAAGCAAATGAAAGGGAAACAAATTAAAACCACAATGAAACTCACAATGAAAACCACAGCAGAAAAGGGTATAATTAAAAACTGAAAAGAGCAAATGCTGATGAGGATGTGGAGGGATTGGAACTCTCAAACATTTCTGATAGGAGTGTAAATCAGTACAATCACTTTGGAAAACTGTTAGGCAGTAACTACTAAAGTTAAATAAACATAAAACTTATCACCCAGCAATTCCACTCCTACATATATACCTAAGAGAAATGAGTGCACACGTCCACCAACAGACTTGTGCAAGAATGTTCAGGGCAGCTTTATTCAAAATAGCCAAACACTGAAAACAACCAAGAAAAAATCAACAGAATGGATTAAATAAATTGTGCTCTATTCACAACATAAAATACTACACAGGAATTTTTTTTTTTAAATCAACATGGATAAATCTCACAGATAACACTGAGGAAAGAAAAGAGTAATGTATACTTCCAATATATGATACTCAAGAATAGGAAAAACTAGTCTAGGATGAAAAAGGCCAGAGTAATGTTTCCTACTGACTGGGGACACAAGGAAACTTGATTGGGATGCTGAAAATGTTCCATATCTTACTCAGGATAATAGGGTAATTGGTTGTATCTACCTGTAAAAATTATCAGGCTTTACACTAAAAATGTGTATACTTTATGGTAGGTATGCTAAAACTTAATACACAATTTAAAAAAACATATAAAAACATAGGGAGCTCTAAGAAAATTACCTAGCTATTAAATAGTCCACTTTCAATTTTAGCACCTTCTGCAGAATACTGGAGTCTTGGATGAGATACCGAAGAGCTCGTAGCCCTGCCGCCCGCACTTCTTTTGCTTCATTCAATAAAGCTAACCGCAAGCTATATGAAAACAAACAAACAAAAACTCTTGCTGCATGAGTTTCAAATACACATAAAATTATGATACCAAATCCTTCTTCAGTTGAAATAAGCAAAGCTACTTGTCATTTTACATATATAAAAATCATTCACTGTAAGCCATGGAACTTCACTAATGTTATTTTTTAATTTTTGTCTCCTTGGTATATTCCTACCAATCAAGAAAATGTTAAGAGTTTTGTTCTACCTTCTGTAGTTTATTTTATATAAACAGTGGGAAATTAAATATGCCTTTTTCAAGCTGTATCACATATGCCTCTACAGTCTATCCCCCTCTACCTACTTGTTTCACTTCTCCCAAAGAATCATTGGTTTAAACCAATAAATAAAAATACTTTAAAATGACAGTAGGAAGAAACTACTTATACCAATTTTATTTTATTTTATTATTTATTTATTTTTTTTGCGGTACACAGGCCTCTCACTGTTGTGGCCTCTCCCGTTGCGGAGCACAGGCTCCAGACGCGCAGGCTCAGCAGCCACGGCTCACGGGCCCAGCCGCTCTGCGGCATGTGGGATCTTCCCGGACCAGGGCAAGAACCCGTGTCCCCTGCATTGGCAGGCGGACTCTCAACCACTGCGCCACCAGGGAAGCCCTATACCAATTTTAAACGATGCCAAAACAATGGCTATGAAACTGTAACATTAAGCCTCTCGTGGGCTTGAGCAAATCAAGTTTGCCATAGCACACTGTGTCTTAGGTGAGATCTAGAGATAACTGTACAGGTTCTTCTTGCTCTTGGGAATAATATGAGAACTTTTATTCTGCGATTTAACTTAGAAGTTTAGACTGTAGAAGTCCAGGTACTTTTCGAAAACATTAGCTTTGGTTCTTTATATTTGATAATTACAAAATATCAGTAAGAACAATAGGATAACAGTTAAAAATGCTGGAGATCCTGAATTTTTCTAACATTCAAACTGTTTCTATAAAATCAAAACAAGGTGTTATACTCTATTTTTAGTTTAAAATTACTAAAACTGAAATTACTAAAATCCAGAAGGGATGAGGAAGGCAACTGAACTATACTTACCAAATTATGATATCCTCATAGCTAAAACCCAGTTTTTCTTCATTGTGGCCAATATCACAAAGCAGCTGTCAGAAAAACAAAACAAGTATGCATAAACATAAGCATGTATTTTTGCTTATTTACATACATTACCTTTTTAGACTGGAATAAAAAGATATTTTTCTCTAATAAAATTTTGAAAAATATATGATTCTACTGTCCAAATATGACTTATTTCTATCATCTTATCGTTTATTTGACCTGACAGTTCTAGGTTTCTTGCCTTTGTCTGAATTAACCAGCTGTTTTTTATTATTCTTTTTTCCCCCTCCATACTCTTACTGTTTTAAAAACTATTCCTGGGACTTCCCTGGTGATAGAGTGGTAAAGAATCTGCCTTGCAATGCAGGGGACATGGGTTCGATCCCTTGTCAGGGGACTAAGATCCCACATGCCACGGGGCGACTAAGCCTGCGCGACACAACTACTGAGCTCACGCACCTCAACTAGAGCCCACATGCTGCAAACTACAGAGCCCACGTACCACAACCACAAAAGAGAAAACCCACACGCCACAGCTAGAGAGAAGTCTGCGCGCTGAAACAAAAGATCCCGCAGGCCTCAATGAAGATCCCACATGCTGCAACTAAGACCTGACGCAGCCAAAAATAAATAAAATAAATAATAAATCTATGAAAAAAAACTATATTCTTTTAGTGGTTACCATAGAGATTACAACATGCATTTTTGACTTATTACAGTCTAACAGAAATTACTACTTTACCATGTTCTCAATAATGAGACCCCAATACTTCAACTCCATTTACTCCTCTCACCTTTCACTTTTTGTTTTTTCTATCTTTTAAGCCCCACAAGACATTATTTTTATTTTTAGTTAATATTTAGTCAATATCAATTTATATTTACTCTCAAATTCACCACTTCCATTACTCTTCACTCCAGTGGTACATTTATAGGATGTTCTCTCTTCTGCCTAAAGAATCCTCAGTTCATTGTTGTTGATCTGTTTTATTGGTATCTTCATTTGTTTTATAGCCAAGGTTGCTGGCAATGGATTTTTTTGGTTTTTGTTTGTCCAGAAATGATTTTTTCCCACTTATGTTTCTGGAGGACATTTTGCTGGATTTATATAAATTGTTAGGTTTGCTCTTTTCTTAAAACAATTTCAAGATGGCTTCCATTGTTTGTTGAGAAGTCTGATATGAGTCTTACTGTTGGCTCCTTTGAAGGTCTTATCCTTTTTGTCAGACTCCTTTCGAGATTTTTTTATCTTTGATTTCAGCACTCTTGCTGTTCAAGGGTGGTTTTATTTGCATCCCTGCTTAGGGAAAACAGAAATTTCCGAATCTCTAGGTTGATATATTTTATCAGTTTTAGAAAATTCTGTATCTCTTCAAAAGTAGTTTTGCCCAATTCTCTCTCCTCTTTTTCTGGTAATTCAAATGTTCAATCTTTTTGTGTATACCACAAATCTCTAAGTCCTCTTTTCTGTTTTCTCCTTTCTCTTTTTTTTCTGTCCTTCAGCTGGGTATTTCCTATTTATTTATCTTCTGAGAAGTCTAATCTTCTATTATACCTACCTAGTGAATTTTTAATTTTACCTATCATGTTTCCATTTAACTTTGTACACATCCAATATCATAATGAAAAAATCTTTTTTCACCTATTTTCTCCATAGTTCCTCTATTTTCTTGATATATTAACTACATTTTAAATATTTAAAGTGTTTATCATCTAAATGGAATGAATGATGTAGATAATCTCTAAGTTTGTTTTTATTATCTGTTTTTCCATTTGTTCTGGTCATGTAGTCCTGTCTTTTGGTGGATCCTATAATCTTTGTACATAAAAACTTGCAGAGATTCCTGACTACGTTATCTTTCTCCACAAAGCACTGAGATTCCTGACTACATTATCTTTCTCCACAAAGCGTTCATCCTTTTCTTTGTCAGGCCAATAGACAATGGTGAGTCCATATTAGGCTGCTGCCCTAGTAATACTCAGTCTACCTCTGGTTTTTCCCCCAGGTTTCAACTGAAAGCTTGTTGTTCAGGGGACCAATCTCAAGAGGATGACATGTCTCATTTTTGTTTTATAAAAACACTAGAAAGTCCACCCTGATTTTCAAAGATTTTCTGCTTAGGATTTTATATTTCCCATCCCAGGATTCAACAAATAAATGTACTGAGGGGAGAATCTCCTTTTACTTGATTTCTCCCATTTGATGGTCTCCATCAAAAGCTCTGTGCTGTTTTTCCCATGTTTCAGCAATAGTACTCCTGGGACTACAGTCTAAATATTTAGCTTCCTGTCCACATTCCACATTAGCCAGTATCCCCCAGGTAAATGTTGCTGGAGAAGTTAGATCATCTCCACAAGATTCTCTCTTCTCTGAAGTCTTGGTTCCTATCCCACTTACAGCCAGAATAGTTGCCTGATGCCTTCAAACAGGCTTTCTTTTTTTTTTTTTTTATTAAGAATACTGATCTAATACTAGCTATTTGCACCCCACCTGGATGACAACATATCATGTTGATCTAGTGTGAGTTTTGAAAACTGACTTTTATCTAAAAGTTACATAAAGCTTCGCAAGTTATTTATTGGGCCTAACTGAAAAGGATTAAAGAGAAAGTTGATCATTTCATTAACATGAAGGATCAGAAGGGTCTTCAAGTGCTGTTATTACTCTTCCTCAGTATGAAGTTATGAAGTTAAAAACCAACCAAAGTGACCAGCACATCCGCCTCTGTGAAAAGCACAATATTGTAGCAAAAAAACTGGTGATATAAACTCACTGTTCTATTGGTAGGATCCTTGTAAAACTTCCTGTCCAATTTCTTCTTCAGAGGCAAGAACAAAAAAAAGAAAGATGTTGCAAATAGAACAGGGTAGGGGATAGGAATACAGGAACCCTCAGATACTGTAACATTTTCACAGCAGGGGAAAAGACTATAAAAACGATCACTTTATGTGGCAGGAAACTGCTGTGTAAATAGGTAAATAGGCGAAACAAGCTAAAAAGCTTTCCTTCACAGGCCTTTATCCAAAATGATTATACTGGTATTCCTATAAATTCCTTAAAATTCTGAAACATGATAAACAAAGAAGGTTTAGAGTGTCAAAGAGTATGAAAAAATTTTTATTTGTTTTTATTGTATTGTTATACAATGTTGTAAGTACTTAAATACTGAGAAGGATGAGACTTTTTATACATACGTGTATCAATAGAACTAACACACCATTGTAAAGCAATTATACTCAATGAAGATGTTTAAAAAATAATAATGTAAGATTTCCTAAGCTTTGGGACAAGACAGGAAAATTTCTATACCTCTAGAAAACCAATGGCATACCTAAAATTAAAAGTTAAATAACATATTAGTCAAAAATATTTGGAGGGCTTCCCTGGTGGCACAGTGGTTGAGAGTCCGCCTGCCGATGCAGGGGACACGGGTTCTTGCCCCGGTCCGGGAAGATCCCACATGCCGCGGAGCGGCTGGGCCCCGTGAGCCATGGCCGCTGAGCCTGCGCGTCCGGAGCACAGGCTCCGGAC